ATTTAAACTTACAATATAGTGGATTATGTGGAGTACGTGGTATATTGGTATGGTATGGGCAGATTTTGAGACCCATCTCTCTGTGGAATAAATAGGCTGCATAACTGGGTTTATACACGCATCACATGCAAACAATCACTTCTCGGTATGAAGGTCGAGTGCATGGCACAGTCCTAGAGGTGGCCATTAAAAACATTAAAGAGAGCCTTGTAGATCTCGACGAGCTGAGTTGAACAGTATTTTCAAATTTTTTAAAAACACTGCGTTACATCGACTTATGTCAAAACAAAGAAAACACGTTTCGACTGATTTTTTGAAGTTTCACGGGTAGTACCGTATGTTGCCGTCCGCATGAGCATACATTACACTATAATTCGAATACCCTCCTTCTAATATATACAGTGGCGCTCAAAAGTCTTCGGTGGAATGCTCTTTCAAGCGTAACTTTTTTCCTACTGCATGAAATCCACCGAAACTGCAGTATGTTGATCAATGACATATTGTGAATAATTGCGGCTATTTGGCCGCAATGCGCTTTAGTTCACGGTACATTAGTGAGATCAAACTCAAGATCAGTGCGGAACACGGATAGCATAGGCTTAGGAAAAACCATTTTATTCGAGATAACAAAATGCAATATACTACAAGCATCAATATTTTGTAGGAAAACCTCGACTACTGATGACAGCGGCGCAGCGCGAAGGCATCGAACCGATAATTTTTTGGATGGTAGACATTGGCATGGCGTACCACTCTTTCACTAGTTCAGCGAACTTTTCTTCTTTGTTTTTGCTATATTTGCCGGAACAACGTCTTTTGAGCTCTTCCCACATGTGCTCTATGGGATTTAGATCGGGGGATTGGCTTGGCCATTCAAGAAGTCTGACTTGCTGCTCACAGAAGGCCGCCTTCACTACTGCTGAAGTGTGTTTCGGATCGTTATCTTGCTGAAGGATCCATCCTGCGGGCATATGCTGACGTGCCCATGGCAGTACGATGTCGACCATCATGTTCCTATAGTACTGCCCTGTCATAGTGGTATCAATTTTCAGAAAAGGACCCATTCCGTTCAATGAAAAGGCGCCGTACACCATGACAGATCCTCCGCCATGCTTGGTTGTGGGTACAGTGTACTTCGGATTGAATCTTTCTCCAGATGGACGTCGTACATACCATGCACCATCACTTCCGAACAAATTGAACTTACTCTCGTCCGTGAAAAGAACTCTGCTCCAGTCGGCCACAGTCCAGTCGAGGTGACGGCGCGCGAACTCCACTCTCTAGCTCTCCTATTTTTCGAACTTATGAAGGGTTTCTTGGCTGGACGCCTTCCGTGGATCCCAGCATCCTTCAGGCGTCTTCCCACGGTCTGCCTACTGAGATTGGTGCCTTCGTTCATATTAAATTCAGTCGCAATGTCAACCGCAGTGAGGCGAGGGTCAGCTTTCGAGCGACGTACAATTCTTCTATCTTGCTTAGATGAAGTGCATCGGGGCCTTCCTGTCCTCGTAGCATTGCAAACAGAGTTTCTAACCTGATATCGTTGAATAATTGAAGAGATCGTCTGTTGAGGAATCTTCAGAACCCGTGAAATAGCCGTGACTTTCATGCCTGATTCTTTCATGTTAACAATTGCTTGACGAACACCTTGAGCGACTTCTCTTCTTCTAGGCATACCTTAAGTGTACAAGCACTAATACTGAGCCTATACGAGCTTGAAGAAATGCAATTATCGCTAACCTTGTAATCAGGAAGAAACACTCCCTCAATAAAAACCTTGTGCGTAGTCACGTGATCGCGCTGTTTTGCCGCCAAGTAGCATGAACTAGCTTTAATTCTGCTTGGGATCATCGCGTCAAAATTTTACGTAAATTGCTTATCTAGAAAGAAAGTTACAATTGAAATAATGTTCCACCGAAGACTTTTGAGCGCCACTGTATATGAAACACTCCAATTGTATGGTGGACTAGGTATAAATGTTATAATCTCGACAGCTAGTTCCACCTCGGAAGCTCAAACCCTACAATTCTTAGAAAACGTTGGCTCCGGCCTATTACGCAACATTATACATCCATCGTGCAAATTCCTGCTGTTCTTTCTCTTTGATCAGCTAAGCTTGTTCATTTTTATCGGCATCTCTTTTTTAGGTGGTAGCAAGAGTAAAATTGCCGTCCGAATTCGTGAAAGGGCAAAACATAACGGAAATGGTGAAAGACAAGCTGCGCGAAATTCGGGCTGGGCTACGTAGCAGCAACATTTTTTGAAATACTGAGGTCGCGGAACAGCACTGAGTCCTGAACACCATCCCTTGCTTTTCGATTTAGATATACGCCGCGTCCCAAGAAATACAAGCAAATCCATCAATTTGTGCTCGAAAACAAACATTATTTGAATTGGTATTTGATATGCTTCGTTGTTGTAAACGATATCTTTCTCATTTTCCACTCATGTGTGAATTTGCCATTCTCACACATGCCAAACAAATGGCTCTTGGAATGTTAGGTTTCAAACAAGGTTTCGAGTGAAGCAAGCTTGATGGAATTTCTTGCTTTTCTTATGAGGCGGTTTATCTGCATCGCAAGAATGATGTTGATTACTCAGTGCAGTTCTATAACTCGCAGAATCCTTTCAAAAATTGTTAACTGCTACGTGGCTCGGCCCAAATTTCGCGCTGTTTGTTTGCTTCACAATTCCCTCTTCATTTTCGTTATGTTTGCCTTTTTTCAAATCTGGATGGTGATTTTCTCTTGTTATTATCTAATAAAGGGATGTAGATAAAAATGAAGAAGTTCAGTTTAGTGAAAAGCAGCAACTAATTCAAGTTGGATGTACGATTTTGCGGTAGGCCGGAGGGCCGTTTTATAAAAATTGTAGAGAAGATTGTATGTCTACAAAAATTGATACTATTTGAAAAAAAAAACTGGCTGAAAACTGTTATGATGGAACTCCTATATTCGGTCGACGTTTCGAAAAATTCGACGATTTAGGGCCTGGATCGGTTCGAAAGTTTTAACGTACTCGGTCGGGCCCACAATACTTCCCAAAAGCTGCAAATAGATGAAAACCCCAATCAGGAGACCAGCCTGTGTTCCACCAGCGCCACGTGCTCCTCGATTCATAATACCTAGAAAATCTTTGCTAAAGTGAAGCATTTGATCATTTGGTGTACCTCTGATTCCCAACCAGGAAGTGGGGAGCACCTGGCGCTGGTGGAACTACGGGCGTTGGTTCCCTGGTTGGGGTTTTCCTCTATTTGTGGCTCTTGAGAAGTATGTGGGGCTTGACCGGGTAAGTTACAAGCTAAGAACTTCGAACCGACTTCAGGTCCTGAAGACGACGAATTGTTCGAAACGTCGACCGAATAAAGGAGTTCCATCGTAACAACCTGTACGGCAGAGCAACAACATCAAGCAATATTGCAGCATGCCCAGGTTTCAAGAAGACCGAACACAATGGAATCCTTTAACAAATGTACTACTTTAATTTGTTTGTCAAAACCTTCCTCAATAGCAGCCTGTGGCACCCTTGGTGGGGCGCAGAGAACTAAATAATTCTTCTTGCTTTCAATCCACTATATTTTTTCTCGCTTTCGAGCAGCTCATTATATAATTGTCGTTTTCTGAAATGGCTACTATGGCAAGTGCGTAAATATGTATTATGTCGAATGTAGGTGCACCATTTCCCATATTCAGAACATTGCAAATGCCGTTACATCGCAGACAAGGGTGTAATTTCTTGGACTGTTCGTATTACACTGGAGGCGTACAAGAATGATCAATATCAGGTACGCTTCATAACTCTCATGACCCCATCTCAAAAAGGAACACTATGTAGAAACATATCGTCCACTTGGGTCATACCCATTTCCTCATATTCCCGTCATTTTCGTTCATGTTGTTGTTGTTCAAGTCTCCTCACAAGGGTAACCTACAGTACTACTTCGATAGCCTACGGCGAAGCACTTTCTTGATCGTAATCTTTTCCAGTGAAATTATGCGAAATTTCGATATGCCGCAGTAGCATGTCGTGAACCACTTCTCACTGTATATAGAGCGCTGCTTATATCTCTATATGCTATGTGGGTGTGTGTGAGTGGGTGAGGACGGATGTGTTTGTCACAAACGGTTTCTCCTCATGAACCACCTGGTGAGTCCGGGCCAAGTTCAAGGTCAGTGGCACATGGGAGGGATGATGGAACACTCCTGAATTAGCCTTCCCTCTACATCACTTCTTGGAACCAATGCCTCACTGATGCTGGGACGCGCGCTATGGATATCGTGGAATTGGCGTTTTGGCGCCTCTTATCGGATCTTATCAGTCGTTATCACTTTGGGTCCCCACCAAATATGTTCCCGTCCCACCCCCTACAACATACTTAAAATACAGCGCTCCACTGTTGCAGCGAAGCGCGCTATGAATTTCGTGACAAACAGACGTACACACACACACGCACAGACATACTTAGCGAATTATATATACAGTACCAGGTTTGCTCCGCCCGCTATCGCGCGCATCACAGGGTAGGGAGGAACCACGGAATAGCAGCATGACGTACTCCATTAACCACCTCACTATTGAATGTGTTATACCTCCTTATACCCCTTCTCTCCGGCGCATGGCAGCACCATGTTCTCCCTCCCTTTCTCCTCTCCCCCCCCTCCTTCCCCCCTCTCCCCCCCCCCTCCCCTCTACCGCCCGCCGACTCCGGCTGCCCCGGCAGCACCATGTAGAATGAGGCTGAGTGTGCTCGTTCGGTGTTTTTGTAGCCATTGTGGGTGTTATCACAATCACCACATCAGGTTAGAATAATACGTCAACATGAATATAGACCTTACTCTTGAAAACGGTCGTTCTCTCTCAGTCTCCCCCACCTCCCCCTCCTTATACCCTCCTCTCCGGCGCATGACAGCGCCATGTTCTCCCTCCCCTTTCTCTCTCTTCCCCCTCCCTTCCAGCCTCCCCTTTCTTGCCCCCTTCCCTCTACCCCCCCTCCACCCCCCCCCCCGCTCATCCGGCTGCCACGGCAGCACCATGTAGAATGAGACTGAGTGTGCTCGATCGGTGTTTATATAGCCGCTGTGGGTGTTATCATGATCATGACATCAACATCACGAAGTGTTGCCCTTCGTACTCCCTGGTTTTGTGAGCGGTTCCGGACGGACAGAACGACACACACACCGACAAACCGACACACCAATTCTGGTTCTATATAATGAAGTGATAGTAGGATAACAATGCAAAGTTCCAGACAAATTATTTGATTTTTTCTGAGCCGCCTATACCGCTTGAAACAAATAACTTTTGATCATACATATTTCGCTATGCTTTATTGGTGCTGCTGATGGTAGTTCAGGAGCGATTAATACTGCACGCTTGCTGCACAATAAACTGAAGAAGCACCTTCGTCTTTTTTTTATTATAAAGTTCTCATGACTCTATGGGTCTCCTCGAAAGCTGCAGTATACGTGATCTCGTATTTTTGCAAGGCTTCTTTCATTCTTCTTCTGCTTTATCCAAAGCGTTCTGTTTGAAACCTTTTTCCATTTTGTTCCCTATTGAGCTGCTGTGTTTACAGGAAGAAAGCTTCTATGTCCACGACGTTAGTGGAAAGGAGACTCTGCAACTGGTAAGCTCAAGTATTTCAAATATCATGCCAAAACGTAATTTGCTTAAATTGTGCTCATAATTGTTCATACTGTATAAATCCTGTACAGATTCTGCGAAACTTGGTGGTTTTTGTCTCCGCCCGTCAGCGATCGCTTGCTGATGAATTCATGAAGAAAACAAAGCATGGAGTAGTGAGAGATGTGGAAACGTTCATAGTAACTCCGACAGTCGAAGTGAATAAGGTGACGCAGCTAAGGTGGGTTATTTAACACATTCACGACGACGCCCCTTTTCCACTTTTCGGTCGCGTGGGACGGACGCGATTTTGTGGGCGCCGCCGCCTCACCACATAACCGCAGATTACTGTAAATGAACAAAAACATGAATGTCACAAAATAATTTCTGCAATGTCCAATGCGTAAAGATTATCTAAACATAACAGTAGGATTTCGATCAAAAACGAGAATAGTGGTTACGAAAAGAGAGCATTTATTCACTTTCCCCGTAAAGGAATTTAAAAGCATTTTACACTCGATTAAGGGATTTACCCACCGCTATTTCCATTTATAGCGCCTGGCAAGCGACTATCAGCTGGCAGCCCGTATGGGCTGCCGTCGGCGTAAATGTGTCGACGAGATTTTGTGGCTAGCAGGTTTCTGTAAAGGGAGTGTTCCTCAAAAGAACGGCAAACCTCCTGCAGGAGCAGTTTGTTATTTCACTCTACATATTTTTCTATATTACTTACCATACTGGCT